CAAGAGAGTAAAAGAGAAATTTTGTTGTAATTTGGCCAATATTAGGTCAAAATTCTTCATTTAGAGCTTGTTTTGACCAGGCAAATGTGTTTTACAACTTTAATTAAGAGTGAAAAATATGTTATTACAGTAGGAATTGCGAAAAAAAATTAATTGTTAAAACTGGGGCCAAAGGCCGTCAGTACAGTTTTCTCAGTGCGTTTAAAAGCTAAAAGTATGATATTTGCAAGGTATATGTAAAATTTAGAGCTGAACAAGTTTACTTAAGACACCAGGACAGCTTGTCTTAATAAAATAAATAGTTATAAGCGTTTTATGACAAACGAATTTTTTAGTTAATTTTTGTGTAATGGATTTGCAGAAAGAGTTTTTTTATTATAAACTAAGAATAGGATAAGTTGAAAATACAGAGCTTATATATACAATATTTAATACAATCAATTAATAATAATTCATATGTAAATATAATATACTAAGTAATATCTCAGACAACACTCCAATTATTGCTTCAAGAATTAAAAGAATTAAATAAAACTTTTTGTGTAAATGCTATTATTCAGAAAGAAGTAATTAATTAATAAAAAAAGTTGTAAAAAAACTAGTAGAGTTTATTACTCTAAATGATACCATTAGTGATTTTTAGCTTCATCAGAATCTTTATATTCATATTAATAATCAAAAAAAAAAATCTTGAAAAAATAACATTTAGAACAACTTAAGCAAATGCAGACTATCAACAAAAATGCAGATTAAGAAAAGAAAATGAGTAAGAAAGAAAAATGAAATAGTTATATATGATCATGCTAGCCACCCATCAGTTCTTTTTAAGCATTCTAATCTTTTTGAACATATACACAATTCTATCGAATTCAGCATAATTGATGCCAAAAAAAAGAAAAGAAATAATTAAAGTTCAATCAGTAGCATATCTACAAAAAGAGCTTGAAAATAATTATAATGAATACTTATCTATGAGCACAATTTACAATTATTTGTTGTCAAATAACAGAGGTTTGATCAAGCCAAAGCCCACTACCATCCTGCATTGATTGAAATAGCTAATGTTTTACAAAGTGAAAAAAAAGAACATGTTGATACTCATTATTGCTTAGCTTTAATAAAAGCTTTAAAGACATTTACAAGTACATTATCTAATATATCAGTTTTGGTGTTCCAAGATGACAAGACAAAGGTTAATGTTGGTATATCTGCTATATGTTGTACATTTCAAACAATCCAATTAATTGCTGCACTTATAAAATTAGAAGACTATGATTTTCTAATTGGAATATTTCAAAAATTAGTTCCAAGCATCTATTTGATAATTAATTTAGCAGATTCAAATGATACAATAAGAACAGAGCAACTCACAATTTATGTATAACCACAGTAGTACATTGAATTAAGTTCTTTAAAACATATGCAAGATTTGATTAATTTTTTATTAATAAAAGAATATGAAGAAGTTTTCAAAATAAATAATACTGTCAAACTAGTTTGGATATTACTTATGATGGAAGTTTGGATAAAAATTCTAGGTTTATCAAAAATATCTATCAGTATTGTTATTTGTTCAAAAAATTAGATCTTGATTATCTTATTATACATATTAATATATCAGAACAATTTGCATTTAATCTTGTTGAGAGAGCCATAACAAGCTTATCTAAAAAATTAGGTAGAATTTCTTTTAGTATTGATACATTTGACAATCACCTTAATTCTCAAAATAAAATAATTAACAAAGACTTGGGCTATGAAATTTTCAGCATGCTGGTGAAGCTTTATATAATATTTGGCAATATAATAAAATTTTTAGTAAATCAGTCTATTGTAAATATGTTAATGAGCAGTTAATGCTTTTTTTAATGTTGTTTTTGAAACAAATTTGGGTTGTAATAATGAAAAAAACCAATAATAAATATGAAAAACCAGAAGTTGTAACTGTTGAAGATACTGAACAAGTCCTATAAGCTTGAATTGAAAATTATGCAAAAATGTACAAGTATTCTTTAGATATTTGAAAATGTGAAGTTTCTAAATGATGTTTACTAAAACAAGCATCTTAGGCTGCCACTCTTCTTGAACTTATGAATGGTTTTCTTTCAACAGTAATTCAAGACAAAAACAATTACTTTTTAAACCTAATTCATACTATACAATATTTAGATTTTGCAAAATTAGTGAAGTATAATAAGCATTGTCCTTCAATTAGTGCAGAACTATATGTATATCTTGTATGCAAAAAATGTAAAAAATAATTTTCTATATATGCTTTTCTTTTAAATTACAAATGTCTTGCCTATCCTAAAAGTAAATAAGATCTTAAATAGATAAAACCTGTATAAAATTTGGAAATAAAAATTGAATAAATAAATCAAATTTTAAACAAAATAAATCAAAAATAAAACTTATCTTTTGTGAAACCTAATTTTTGTTTATATGATTGTTCAGTTTTTATGTTATGTATAATTTTATTTTTAGAGATTTGTATTATATAAGAAATTCATAATTTTTTTCTATATATATAATATTATATAATATCTGTGAGTCCTCATAGTAAAAGACAAAGAACTTAAAAAAAAGATTATAAAAAAAGTAAGTCAAGAATTAAAAGTGGTTGAAAGTTGAGATTAAATTTCTTTATTAAAAATTTTTTAGCCACTATATAGGCAGTATCATTAAAGTATTTAATAATTTGTAAGTAAGTAAATTTTTGATTTTTGACAACATTAAAATAGATAATTATTTAAACAAGAAATTTGGTATTAATAATAATTTTTGCAAGAAAATTATTTGCTTTCTCTTTAAAAAGAGACTATATATTGTAATTTTTAGTAGCAGTTTAATAGTATAGAGAGAGGTAGCAATAAAAGTAGTAATTATAGCATTTTGGGTTGGCTTTAATTTTATTTAAAAATTTAGCTTGGTTAGCTAGTTTGTTCAAAAGTTTGGTAAAAATAGGTTGATCAAATGAAGCAGCATATTCTTAGTTTTTATAAAATAATATAGTATTGAGAGTTGGATGAATCTATATTTTATTATTTTAAGAAGAAAATAATAAGTAAAATTTGCTTAGAATGTCATTGAAGAGCTTAGTACTGTTATGAAAGTTTTTATTATCAAGATATTGATATAATGTGCTTTCACAAGTAAGGCAATGAAAATTAGCAACTTGGATGCTTCTTTATATCATTTATAAAGTGAGTTATGTTTTGAAATATATAAGATTCAGAAAAGTTTAAATAATTAAAAAATAAAATATTGTTGGAATTAGATTTTAAGAGAGGTGCAAACTTTTTTTTTGTCAATATTAAAAGAGAATTGTTAGTTATAAGATAAAAAAAATAAGTTTCAAACTAGAAGTTGAAATGATCAAAAAAGTTTTTAAGTAAAAGAATACAAAATCTCTTAAGAAAAAATGCTTTGGAAACATTAAAGAGAAGTTTAATATTAAATTAGATATCCAATTGAATGATGAGATATTTTTATTAAAAATCAGTAATTTGAGTAAAAGATTTAATTTTGAAGCTTTTGGGTCTAAGCTTTAAGTTTTTAGTAAATTTTTGACAATTAATTAATTAGTAATTATTAAATAAAAAAAGATGAAGCTATGTAAGATTGAGACAAAGTTGAAGATGATTGTAAGCAGTATATCAAGTAACAGTAACTAGTAAGATAAAAATTTTAAGACATTAAGTTGGTGAAAAAGATAGTTATAAATTTAAGAATAAGATTTTTAAATATGGATTTAAGAAGATTAAAAGAAATAGTAATATATTTGTCAATATTGAAGTTGTTGTTATAAATACAATTAGTTATGAATTTAGATCATTGCCTAGTCATTATACAAATGATATAATAGAATAAAGCTTTAAATACTAGTTAAATAGTTATAGCTGGCTTGATTTCTTTGCAAAATAAAAGTTATAAAGAAATTTAAAAAAAAGTAAAGATTTAAAAAGAAAATAGCTTGCAATTTTTTGTTAGATTACATTTTTTTAATAATAGGAAGGTTTATATCCAGTCATATATAAGATTAGATTTTGTTTAACAATACTAGAATAAGATTATAAAAAAGATTTGTTAAATGTATTTTTAAATTGAATAGAATTATTAGCATTATTAAGACTTAAGTTAGAGTTATTAAGAAAATAAGAATTAGAAATTAATTAAGAACAAAATTAGTGTTAGTAGCTGTAGAGAATAAAAAATCGATAAGCTTAAAGACATTTAGAGAAGTTTGGTAAAAGAAAGCAATAAAAGAGTCAGTAGTTTAAGAGGATTTATTTAAGAGATTTTAGAAAGTTTAAATAAAAATTTTCTTGATATGAGATAAGCTAACTACATGTTGAAATAAAGCAGTTATACAAGTAAGATGATAAATTTTATTACTTTTTTTAACATATTTTTCATTAAGGTAGTTATACATATTTTTTTTAATATAACTAATTAGAAGAAAGCATTTAGAACAGGTGTAGTAGTATATATTAGGTATAGGAGATAGAGGGATACTGTTAATTAAAGAAGAGAGATTAGATATAAGTTGTTAAGTTGGTTTATTTAGATTTTTTTTTTAGTTACTGTTAATATGAACTGTAGTAAATTCAGTAGCTTAAATATGTTTAGTATTAGTAGTGTTAACCTGTAGTTTTTCCTTTAACTACAGTGATATCAGAAGCTGCTCAACTATAGTATGATGACTATAACT